GAGGAAGCGAGAAGAGGAGGAGAGGGAGGGAGAAGAGAGAAGAAGCAAGAGAGAAACACGGAGAAACGAGAAAAGAGGAGAGAGAGAGACGAGAGAGAGTGAGAAGACGAGGAGAGAGGATGAGAGAGAGATGTAGAGAACGCGAGAGAGAGAGATCGGATGAAGAGAGAGAGAGGGGGGAGGGACGGCGAGGCCAGGGGAGGGAGGACAGGGACAGGGGAGGCAGATGAGGGAGAGAGGGAAGACGAGACAGGGACGAGAGGGAAGGGAGAGGGAGAGAGAGGGGTGAGGAGGGAGGAGGAGAAGAGAGAGAAGAGGCCGAGTGAGAGATGAAGACGAGAGAGAGAGAGAAGGAGAGAGGAGAGAGATGAGAGAGAGAGCAGGAGAGAAGAGAAATGAGAGAGAAGAGAAAGAGAGAAAAAGAAAAAGAGAAGGGAGAGACGAGAGGAGGGAGGAGAGAGGAGAAGAGTGGAGAGAGGAAGAGAGGAGATGAGGAGAGAAGTAGAGAGAAGGAGAAGGAGAGAGAGAAAAGAAGGAGGAGAAGACGAGGAAAGAGAGAGAGAAAGACAGGAAGAGAAAGAGAGAGAAGAGAAGAGAGAAGAGAGGAGACGGCGAGAAAGAGGGTGAGAAGATGAGAGAAGAGAGAGAAGAGACGAGAGAGAGAGGAGAGAGAGAGAGAGAGAGAGAGAGAGAGAGACGAGAGAAGAGAGAGAGAGAGAGAGAGAGAAGAGAAGAGAAGAGAGAGGGAGAGAGAGAGAGAGAAAGAGAAGAGAAAGAGAGAGAGAGAGAGAGAGAGAGAAAGAGAGAAAGAGAGAAAGAGAGAGAGAGAGACGAGAAGAGAGAGGAAGAGAGAGAGAGAGAGAGAGAGAGAGAGAGAGAGGAGAGAGAGAGGGAGAAGAGAGAGAGAGAGAGAGAGAGAGAGAGAGAGAAAGAGAGGAAAGAGAGAGAGAAGAGAGAGAGAGAGAGAGAGAGAGAGAGAGGAGAGAGAGACGAGAAGAGAGAGAGAGAGAGAGAGAGAGAGAGAGAGAGAGAGAGAGAGAGAGAGAGAAAGAGAGAGAGAGAGAAGAGAGAGAGAGAGAGAAGAGAGAGAAGAGAGAGAGAGAGAGAGAGAGAGAGAGAGAGAGAGAGAGAGAGAGAGAGAGAGAGAGAGAGAGAGAGAAGAGAAGAGAGAGAGAGAGAGAGAGAGAGAGAGAGAGAGAGAGAGAGAGAGAGAGAGAGAGAGAGAGAGAGAGAGAGAGAGAGAGAGAGAGAGAAGAGAGAGAGAGAGAGAGAGAGAGAGAGAGAGAGAGAGAGAGAGAGAGAGAGAGAGAGAGAGAGAGAGAGAGAGAGAGAGAGAGAGAGAGAGAGAAAATGCCCGAACTTGGCCCAAAATACAAGTATTTGGCTTACTTGACAGGTGTGCTGCTTGTAGGCCAGGGGCACATAAACACTCATATGCATTAACAAGATTTCATGTCTCCCCTTTGCAATGTTATTTTTTCTTTTTCTGCATAAACCTTTTCACGTTTTTTATCATTTTCCAAAATATATTTCAGCATTTGACTTAATGTATCTCTAGACTACCTAGAGATGATATGGAGTCCTTGCAAGGAAAACAGTCTATTGCCATATGGATAAAGCAAATTAAATGACAAATATAAACATTGGAAAATATCCAAAAGCTAAAAATGCTTATACAGAGAAAATAGAAAAACATTGCAAAGGGTTGGCATGGAGTCTTATCAATGCACATCAGTGTTCGTGTGCTCCAGGCCTACAAGCAGCACACCTGTCAAGTAAGCCAAATACCTGTATTTTGGGCTAAGTGCAGGCAATGAAGCCTTCACATCCAAGGGGTTAAAGAATAGCAATGATTTCACAAATTTCTTTTTATATCTGGAGCAGGAAATAAGAGAATTAAAGAGAGGAATACTCTATCCACAACTAAAAAGATTAAATAATATAATCAAAAAGTATTTAAAATACTGCAAAATACTTTTTTGTGCATTTATGGATTAGAACATACAGTACTCATTATTATCTCTTAGCCTCTGGATAAAGTGAGGTTCATGCCATGGCCGACTTGGGTGCATACATTATACATACAATGATGCATACATTACATTTTAGTGTGATTTTCTTGAAGTATGATCCATAAATGGGAAATACTGAAGCCATGGTTGTTACAACCTTGTATATCACTGTATACAATTTCTTATTTCATAAAATAAGATTTGAAAAAATGAGTAATTTATAGTTTTTTTCAAATTCAATCTTGTACACAGAGTGCAACATATCTTATTTACATTAAAATCATGTTTTTCATACAAATTCTATAAAAACTATGTGCTATCCATATCTGAAAAAGGCCCCTGAGGCAAGCCCAGTAGGTTGTGCATACTCCTTGGAGCAGAGGCCAAACAAACATCATTTTCTCCCAGAAGGCAATGTATTAAAAGCATATCTGAATTACTTCACACTTTCTACATTCCATTCTCAAGCAGAAAAGGGTAAGACAACATGACTGTGTAACTGGCTAAGGGAGAGGAAGGCCTAGAAGGAGAGTGAGGGGATGGGGATGCCAAACCAAGCTAGAAATCTTAGTGGTCACTATGTCTCATTCGTAATAAAAAAGTAGTGAAAAAAGTTTACCAGTTTTTGATAAGCCTTCAATGATGATGGTGAATAGGACTGACTACACATTGTGGAGAAAGCCAAAATCATGTTTCAGTGATTTGAGCAGCCCATGCACACTGTCACAAATTGTGCTTCACAACTGATTTTTAGAACTAAAAAGCTGGAGGGGGACAAGCCCTACAGTAGGAGGGGCAGCTGCTGCTCTTACCCCAGAAATCCGTTAATACAATTAGTATGCATACAACAATGGTTCCAATAGAACTGAACAGAAATGTATATATGTAGTAACAAATAAAGCCCACTACCTGAAGAATATGAATTCCAGTTGATGTCAAAACAATCAGCTGAAATGTACCATCTCCCATTACATCACAATAAGCCAGTGACAGTACAGGGCACGGGAGTGAAACGGTGTGGTAAAGGATCCACTCTGAAGTCTTCTGTATCCATTTGTAAACCAGAACAACCTGAAATTGACAAGAATATTTGTTTCCTTTACATTATTATTTCTAATAATCTGTCAAACTTCGCAGTCTTGCTTCCATGAGAATACAAGTATATGTAGCAATTTCTGGATATAAATGCAGATAAATTTGTTACTACCTGGCCATAAGTCCCCATCAATATTTCGTTAATGCCGTCTTGATCAATATCACAGACAATGCAGCATGTGACAGCATCATTTGCATCTGACTCTGGCAATCTAAATCCTTTTTGGGCTTTGGCAAAATCTCTGTAGAATAGAAAAGATGAGTTATTTACCAAGTCTTGAATACCATATCTAATATGCATAAAAATATACATATATTACCAAAAATAAAGGAAAAGGGTAAACAGGTAAGATGGGTAGGATAATTCATTGACACCTTGGTGTCTAAGCATTTGTGGAATCATCTATGTGTAAATAAAATCAATAAACTAAACTCAAAGCTGGCATGGCACGTACATACCATCCCCAGCTGCACTAGGCTAAAATGTGCAGCTGGCTCTGAAGAGCGATGTCACAGGTTACCCAAAATACTTTTCATGAGAAATGCCAAATTTACCATTTAAGCACAATAAGGACAAGGTACGCTCTGAACAAATCCAAATACATAAAATATGGAAAAGTCATCTTTGTTGGCCTGATAGATATGGTGCATTTTTTTATGAGAAATACAAGCAAGATATTGTTTGGTTCAGCTTGCTTTAGCTTGCCAAATTTGACAAAACCAGTCTCATTGTATAATTTGACCACAAAAGAAGTTCTGTGGAACTGGTCAGTGAAATGTCAGGAAGCTTTTGACAGGATTAAGGCTGAAATAACCAATGAAACATTTCTGGTACATTACAACAAGGATTTGCCTGTAAAATTAGTATGTGATGCATCGCAAGTAGGGTTAGGTGCAGTATTGGCACATGTTATGGAGGATGGTACCGAAAGACCCATTGCTTTTGCATCAAGGTTGCTGAACAAGGCAGAACAAAAATATTCTCAGATAGAAAAAGAGGGATTAGCATTGGTATATGGTGTTAAGAAGTTCCACATGTACCTCTATGGTAGAAAGACCTTTTCATTAATAATAGATCACAAGCCACTATTGGCTATTTTAGGACCAAAGAAAAGTCTGCCAGAGTTAGCAGCAGCTCTTCTAAACAAATGGTCAATAACCCTAGCTGCCTATAACTATAACATAGAGTACAGATCCACATCAAAGATGGGGAATGTGGATGCTCTATCTACTGGCAGATCGGGCTTCGAGAGAGGAAACATCAAGCATTTTGTTAGTAGACACCTGTGAACTTCCAATTACATCAAAACTAATTGCAAGTCAAACTAAGAGTGATCCTGTATTATGAAAGGTTTTACAGTGTTTGACATTAAATGAAAGGGATGAATTGTCTGAGCAACAATAAAAGCCATTTACAGAGGTGTGGTCTGAACTGTCAGTTGAACAGGATTGAGTGATGAGAAATACCAGGGTAGTAATTCCAGACCGCTTGAAAGATAGGGTTCTTGTGGAGTTACATATTGAACACCAAGGTATCAAACACACAAAGGTAATTTCTCATTCTTTTGTGTGGTGGCCTGGTACTGACAATGACATCACAATGTATGTAAGAAATTGTGAGGGCTGTGCATTTCAGCCGAACAATCCAGCTCCATGTAAGACACACCTTTGGGAGACAACTAGTACTCCATGGCAAAGATTACACATTGACTTTGCAGGTCCTTTTCAAGGTCACAGTTATACCAATGACCTCTACAACTGCATATAGCACTGTGAGAGTGCTATTGTCTCTATTTGCAACACATGGTATACCTGAAAAAATTGTGTCAGACAATGGAACTCAGTTTGTTTTAAGTGAGTTTGAAAATTTTTGCAAGGTGAACATCATACACATCCGTATGTTCCATATCACCCCACAACCAACAGTGAGGCAGAAAGATTTGTACAGACATTCAAAACTAATAATCTAGTCTCACCACTAATATAAACAGGTTCCTACTATCATATAGAACCACTCCTTATGCGACCACAGGTTGTTCACCTTCATTTCTGTTGATGAGGAGGAGGGTGAGATGTAGGTTGGATACAATAACACCAAAAATAGCTGAAGAACAAAAGAGTAAATGCGAGAGTGTGAAGGACAACAGAGAATTTAACACTGGAGATAAAGTATTGATAAGATCATATACTTCTTCAGAAGAAAAATGATTTGAAGGACAAGTGGTACAAAGGCTAGGTAAATTGCATTACATGGTAAAAGATCATGATAGTCGAGAGATGAAAGGGCACACTGATCAAATGAAGCCATCGCATCTAAAGAAGGGTGTAATCATATTTCCTTCTATGCTGCAGGATCAGTCAAAACAGCAGAAAAGAAGGAAGTTACGGGGACTGTCCCTGATGGAGGGGGGGGAAGGGGTTTAAATTTAGTTAGTTAGTGTATAGTATAGGTACATGGATGAGGAAACTACTAAACGAGTATTAAGCGCCTGCTATGGCTCGTGGTCTTGCAGTTGACGCGTGAGTTCCTCAGCACCCGAAGAGGTACGTCGCTAATGACGTTTGCATTCGTGCATAAGGCATTTAATTATGACATTGCGCATAGATATGAGTTTGTGAATGTTCAAGGAACACTTTTATACCAATATCAGGAAAAAATTATATCACCGTGATTTATGACGAAATATTTTGTGAAATATATCTAAAAAAAAAATGTAAGGTTTGTGTCCTTTTACACATGAAATATGCTTCGATCGAGACTCCCTGGTAATATGTTTTAGTTTATGAGGTAATATATACGTATATCACATACGAAGCACTTGTTTAAAAACACCCTTATAAGGAGGGACTGAAATATTTCCGTTACATTTCGCTCAACGGTTGGTACATCACAGCAGGGGGCAATTTGAATTGATTTGAAATTGGTAGTTACCGTTGTAAAGACCAATTCAATATGAATGTTACCTAAATGTCAGATTTTTAAACTTCGGATGTATAAGCGAGATACAGATTATTTCATGTTGAAGATGATAGTACTCAGTAATACCTGCTCTGAAATAAAAACTATATGGAATTTTGAGCTCGGTTGTATGTGTAGTCTTCGTCTGGCGTTCAAAAAGCTATCGCATCCGTTTCGTGCATTCACGATAAAAATTAATATGTTTAGACGTTACCGTAAGTCTTAGGCACCATAAATTGGCAAATATCCCACAACACCTAGGCGTCTGCATGACTTTATGCACTTCATAGTAAAGATAATGGGTGCAAATGGCTAATCATAAACTATACACTTGTTCTCCTTTGCAATCTGTTAATATTGACAATTATCGAAGAAGATGGTATGAGAGGGATAACTAATACATTTTATTATCTAGATATGAAAGTCAATGTAGACCTACTAAATGATGATGATTAATCTTTTTTACTTTATGTGCATGCGTTCACGTACATATGATCCTTATCGAAAATTATAAACACCCAGTGACCATCTCCCCCTCCCCCCCGTGTGAGGCATGGGAAAAATTCAACGACTTTCGTAAGTTCTCAAATTCAATGTACTAAATTCATATGCTTTTAAAATTCTCAAAATTGAACCACCATGTTGTATTCATGCCAGGACTTTATAATTAGAATGATTTTGTACTAATGTTGCCATCCACAGTTCCCCATTTCTTCAAAAAAATAAAATAAAATAAAAATAAAATGAAAAAAAAAAAAATAAAAAAAAAATAAAAAAAAAATAAAAAAAGGTTTTTATCTGGTTTAGATTAGTTGTCTCTATGGTAAAATGCATTTATTAAGCTTTTCCCACGAAAATATCAACTTTTATGAACAATGAAAAAAAAAAAAAAAATTACATACCTTTACGGAATAGCGTCCCTATTGAAAATGAAAATTTCTTTTGACTTGGTAATCATTGCATTGCAACGTACATTAAATAAGCATTTTTTTTTTTATATATAATATCATTAGATTCAGAGAAAAATAACAGAGATAACGAACTTTGGCAAGGGGCCAAATACAAAACGCCGTAGCTCCGTTATTTTTTTATGAATCTTTGGTACATCCCAACTCACGTAATTTTCATGCGATTCAAATGCAGTTTGTTGCTTTCACTAGAGCCTCGGCGTCCCAAGGCCATGTAAAAGGCCAATTTTTAAATTTTTGCCTTAATAAAAAAAGATAATATTTTAATGCTGAAAAAAAAAAAAAAAAAAAAAAATAGTTCTCTATGTCAAGCTGTCCCCCACCAAAAAAAAAAAAAAGGAAATTCAAAATTCGGCCTTTTACATGGCTATAGGCTAGGGTTGATCTTTGGGGGAATATTCAGTATAGAACTGTGATAGTTGGGATGTACCGAAGACATACAAAAAAAAAAACAGCAATTTTTTTCGCCTTTTTGGGGGGTGCCCCCCCCCATGGGGGAGCAAAGTTAAAATTTATATATATAACAGAGCGCAATTCTATACTCTATATCATGCAGAAAGAATCAATCAGTTATCTCTAACCAATATTTTTTTATGATGTAAAGAGTAGGGAAAGGTGGCCATTTTCCGGGATGGTCCCCTTAAGGTAGACCAGGAGAATGTGCCTTCTGAGATACCTAAAAAGAAAGAGCTTCCACAATCGTCTACCAGGAATAAACTTCTGGCTAAATATGTTGACAACTATATTCTTACGGGAAAATGGTAATTGTATCTATGTGTAAGCAAGTCACTGCGATGTGTATTAATTGTAAGCTTTGGGGCAGTTGTAATACTTATAATAATTGTGATATTGTCAACTATTGTGACATTTGTGATATTATGTACTTATTTAGTGTGCTTTTATGATTCTCAATAAATGTATTATCTTCTATAAGGGGGAAGGAAGTGTTATGCATTAACATACACTAAATGATATATGTTATTAACTCTATAAAGTTCCTATGTATAAATTGACTAACATTTATTATGTATGTGAAACCCATGTAAGGACGTGCAATCCGTTTTCTATGACCAGTCAAATGTATACCTAGCGGCGATGTATGTAACCCCTCATGGCTTAGCAACAATAAAGAGTAGACATAGAAGAGACTCTCTCTACAAACCCTACAATAAATAGGTTTATCCAAGACTTTGTGATCCCTACTTTGGAGAATGAGGATGGGAGATAACAAAGTGCATATCTTATGATTTCAGGTGAGATATGAAGTGATGTTATACTGTTTGGGAGATAGATGAGAACATCCCCA